CAATCCTACTTCCGTAGTGATACTGCCTCGGAAACCCAAGGAGGGGTCGCTATGAGTTGGGGCCGACTCGACGGCACATAACAACAACAACAATAGATCTATAGCCAGATAATAGGCTTACTTTCTTCAGAGTGAGGCCTGGATAACACACACTGCATTCTACAGACAGATATCAGTGGAGTAAGATCCTGTGATCACTAGTCCAGCAGTTTTTCTCAACTAGACTTCTAAAACAGCCAAGTTCTTTACTGTGTATGAACCATTACAATTGTTCAGTAAAAGCTGCAAAATTATATGGTAATTAAGAAAACAAACAGCAGGCTGATGCCAGTATGAGTATTCATTCATCTTATCTACCAAGGCTGAGTTTCTAGTTAACGATGAAAACCCTTTAATAGCTATGTGTGCTGTGCTGAGGCCAACTGTCAGACCAAATTCAGAAAACATGGACAAAGCAATGACTTGGTATCGGGCCCCTCCCACACAGGTGCATAAACTTGAGAGCAGCTTCCCTCAAATTTTTACCAAGTCTGTCACCACCTGTTGGCTAAAAAGACCAGGTGGATGAAATATGGAGACTATGAATTAATCATCAGGCATTCAAGTGCTATGCCCAGCACTGGCGACACACTGACTGGGGTGGGGGTGGGGGGTGGGGGGACGGCATGCCCACATGCGAACAGCTGAGGAGCATTAAAGCTCTTCCCAATGAACAAAGTCTGGGCTGGGGCGGCTGCTCGGAAGCCAGGCTCCTGTGGCCTGAGGCTGTCGATGGAGTCAGAGAAAGGATCAGAGCCCAGGGAGGGCACTGGCTGTAATAATTAACACGTGGAGAGTGCTACAAGCAGTCACAGACGCCTGGAAGCAGACTAATCTTTCTCTCTGTGCTTTACAGTATTTCCCAAGGAAGGACATGTTACTATTAAAATGTGTCTCATCATAATTAGTGCTAGAACAGGGTCCCAAGCATGTACAATACCCATGCTGATTCTAACCTGTGAAAGAAAAAGGGAGTAAATACAGAATACACACATCTCAGAGTAAAACACTGGTTAAAGAGGGAGGGACAAGTCCACATTGAGTGTCGCTATCTCTGAGTGGGATTACTAGGGAACTTTCATTTTTTTTCCTAGAGTTTCTACGTTATTCTTAGAGCCACAGTGACGGTGTTCTACAGCCGGCAGTGTGACACTGCACCCCAGGTCCAATCGGTACCTGCCCAGCTCAGCTGCTACCTGGATAAGCTGCTGATGAGCCACGTTGCCACAGAAGAACGTCTGCTGATCGTCCACGAAACCCATCAGCTCAGTCTCCTCCACCTCCTCGCCATTTAACATGAGAACTCTGCGATGGAAGGCAAGGTCAGGGCCGCAGGCCACTCTCACACCAGCCCCTGGCACTTGCGCCACATGGCCCCATGCTTACCGCGTCTGGCCCACAAAGGAGAGCACCAAAGTGTCATCGGTCTCCCGGTTAGGGTCCGACCGCAGAGGCCACAAACCTGCAGCAAAGACCAAGGATTAGGATCCACGCCACAAACACACCAGAGGGGAGGGCGGGTGACAGCACGGGGACGCAGGGGTCCCAAGTCAGACAGCCCCACTCGGCCCCGCCTAGCTTTCCGACTCTGAAGAAGTCAAGCGTTCTTAAAACTGTTTTGAGCCTGCTTATGACTTACATTTTTAATTTAATTTTTGTGTTGAATGCAGCATTTCTGTGATTTCATATCAAAATTTATTTTTAAAAAATATATGCTGAAGTCTCACTCTGTGCTCTCCCTCCAGCCCACTCCCCCAATCAATATAGCTCGCTTATCCCTGCAGTTTTTCTTTAAGGCAACAGGATAAACACCGTATTACAGTACATACAACATAGCCTGTTGATGTCTTGCTCTTTCTTTAGTGACAGATGCAGAGGCCCTGGTTAGAATAGAATGTGTTGTTTCCTATGCCTACACAGTATTTGGTCATGTGACTCTACTTAATTATTAACATAATGGGTAATTCATCCATCCCACTGATGGGTACTTCTTTTCTTCTAGTATTTCGCTACGACATTCAATGTCACAACGAACAACCTTGATAACCTTGTATTTACACCTTTCTATGCACATGAAGGTACGTGGGTAGATGTCCAGAACTGGAATTGCTGGACAAACCACTAAAGCCAGCTGTACTTCCTAGAGACTGCCAAACCCCACTAAAGAGGGCGCACGTGCCTGTGTGTTCACTCACAGCCTACTGCGCCGCCCCACCTGGGGTTTCAGCCACTCGAGTCAAAGACAAGCTCTCACCCAGCTCGGGCTTGCTCTTCTCTCATTACAGTGCAGCCTGAGGTCCATTCACATCCTTAGCCAATTTGGGACAAAAGGTTTGTTTATCTTCTTTTTAGGAATTTTGTATACATCAGGGTGATTAGGCCTTTGTCTATAAGTGAACTACAAACACTGCTATCCAGTTCGTCACCATTTTCTGACTTGTGTTTTCCACACGCAGGAGTGCCATGCTTTCAGGAAGCTGAATTTACCAATCTTCCTTTTTGGCATCTGTATTTTGAATCATGGTTTAAAAGACCTTCTTCTCCACCCCAGAGTTATAAAGCAATTCACCAGCTTTTTCCTCTAGCCGTTGTATGGCTCTGCACCCTGCGTCCCCCGGAAGGGTACCTTTGATGCCTGGCAAGTCGATGCTGGCATGCTCGTGGATGCCAATCCCGTTCCGGATGATCCGCAGGGAGCCTTCTTTGAAAGCCCCAGAGCACGTGACCAGCTGCAAGTAGAGAAAAGGTTCTCCATTAACTTCTCAGAAGACTGAGGTCCTCAGGCTGATGCCCAGGGTCAAGGAGCTAGAGGTAAACCAAGCACCCTTCCCGCAGAGCCAGGCCTAGAGAGGCAGACAGCAGCAGAAGCTCCTGCCGCTGCTCCTAGCAAGCTGCCTGAGATCCGGGCAACTCCAGTTTAACAGAAAGAAAACAGGACCTGGGGTCAGACACACCGTCCGTTTATTAGGTGTGTGACCTTAGGCAAGTTACTTAACCTTTCTCAACCCTAAGTTTCCTCACTTGTGCAATGGCCAAGGACGTCTGTCTAACAGAGTGCTCATAAGATTATAGAAAATGTCTACGAAGTGCCTGGCAGACCAACAGGCACTGAATAAATGGGAGGTGTTCTTCTATCACTGGTGACTGCATGAGGCTTATGAAAGTATTTTCAGCATGTACTTCCCAAAGCTGGGAGGACGCAGCTGGAGTGGGCATACCAACTATCAAACCATTCCCAGGATGACCCCTTACCTGCCCCTGGCCCTGCCTCTCCAGGTCCACCACGCACATGTCCACAATAGGTCCTAAATTGGTAAAAGTCTCCATGGCCACTACATAGGAACCTTGCTCATTACTGTCAACGTTGAGCTGCGAAGAAGAAGGATGTTAGTCCTGGAATCCCGCAACAGACCCACCCTGAAAAAGTAGTCATCAGAATAAATTCTCAGTCCTGCTAGCTCTGCCCTTCTTGTGCGCCACTAGATGCTCTCAGAAGGAGACTGCTGACTGAGGAACATGGTTACCCTAGAGGTAAGCCCGTGAGTCAGTCCAGGGATTTCTAATCCACTGATATCCTACTGATGGTGTTCAGAGAAGCGGTGGAATTTTTTGAAATTAATGTAAAATGTACGTGTGGAGAGTCTCTGGAATGAGCAGATTCTAGAGGGGATCCAGGACATCAGGTTGCGACCTATCTGAGGGCAGGAGCTGGGTTTTGTTTACCATTTTATTCACAGCACCTAGCACCCTGCCCGCCCCCTTAGTTGAATGAGCCTTCAGGACAAGGAGCCGGTTGGGGCAGGGTGTTGAATTGGCCTCGCGGAAAGCTGGGTGAGCTGGAGACATTCTGAGAAGCGCCCAACACAGGAGAGAGTTGACGCAGCAGCAGCGAAGACAAAAAGGAACAAATGTCTTCTCACCTTCACGAGCTGGGAGTCACCCAGGCGAGACCCGACGAACACAACACCATTGTCCAGGTATGTCAAGCACTCAGCAATCGAGGTCTGGAAGAAAGGTAACAGAGCAGAAGATAGTGGAATGGACTCCAGGTGAGCTGGGATCCAGACGCTGCCCTGCCCAGCCCACAGACATCTGTTGAGAAAACTCGCAATTGCAGCTGAAATTCAAGCCACAGGTCGTCCTGTCAAATCCCCCAGTCATACTAACAAAGGGTCCTAAATATCTCAGAAGTCTGTGACTCTCCATTTAAACATCCCTCTGCTCAGAAAATTCTGTAATTTTTCTGGCAGGTGGCTTGTTCCGAAAGACAGTTCTAATCTAACAACTCCAGTTTGCACGAAACAATCAGAAACCTCTAAAATACACTGCACAAGCCTTAGACATTTTGTACCCTCCTCCCAGAACTATCAGCATTAGACTGATCTTGAGTTCCAGATGACATCCCTTCCACTTCCCCTTCCTTTCTTTTTACGCTTCAGGTTCTGCCCGGTTGCCCTTGAAACTTGCCCATCCAACCACTTCCGAAGTCAACTTCTGTAGGAGAACTGGCAGGGTTTATCGCTAGGTGTTAAGGACCTTACAAAAGTAATACAACCGTGGAGGTGCAGGGTGGGGCCGCACATCTGTGGTCAGCAGGCACCCAAGAGAGCTTGCAGAGAAGAGAGCAGCCCTACCTCTCCCAGGAGTTCCACGCGGAGATCCTTGAGGGTGACGGTGCCATCCATCTGCTCCTCCTTCTCCAGCAGCAGCATGAAGAGCCGTCCTTCCATGTCTCCCAGCAGGTAGCGTGACCCATTGGGGTCCACCCGGTTGTGACACACGATCGTGCTTTGCTGCCAGCAGGGATGGCACAGTCGTTAGATTGTTTCTGCGACCAAAGAGCAAACCCTGCCAGGCCACTCTCTCGGGAGACCAGCCAGAACTGAAAACGCCCAGGAGTTCACTCAGCAAACATTACACAGGGGAGAGAAAATGTGCCACTCTTTTAAGATAACTTTCTGAGGAGCTCAATGTACCTGAAATGCTTATTCAAGTATCATTTGACTGGAAAACAGAACTACAGAGACACAGAGTAGAAAACAATTCTGAGTAGTCACTGGATTAAATGTTATCAGGTTTTGCTATTCAGGCTCAAAAAAATTAAATTAAGCTTTATGGCTTAATTTTTACAGCTTGAAATTTTTGTGAGTAATGCTTAAAGTCTCAAGGATCTCATCACCTTTTTATTCTATATGACTTGAGCCTTAGTAACCACCACATCCAGTAATTAGCAACATTCTCCTCTTCTTATGGCTTATTTTATAGTTGCCCAGTCAATGATTATGACTTCTGTCTTAGTTAGCAAGCAAGCACTCTGTAAGCAGAAGCCAGCTCGGTTCTCTGTCCCCCCAGCAATCAACACAGAATCTTCCACGGGCAGTGAACAGTGTGATTGACAGCTGTGAATCCCCTTAACAACTGGAGAAAAAGGAGCAGCAGAGGGAGAGCGAGGGGAGAAAACAGGAGGAAGAAAGGACAAAGGGTCTGCTCACCTTGATGATCGGAGGGGCGATGGCCAGGTATTTGTCACCATTGTGATAGGTGATCGACTCCTGTCCAATGATGATGGCACCCCCAAAGGGCTCTGGGACTGCAGGGGAGACAGCAGCATTAGAACGTCCAGCATTTGGGGACACAGCGAGGACACAGACCCAGTGACCCCCGAGGCAAACTTCAAGGTAACCATTACTTTTTTAAAAACACATCAACGCTCAGAGAAGGTAATCTACTTTTCCTGAGGTTCCTGGCTTTGAGATTTCAGACTGGCCAAGATGGAATCCTGGGAACACCTGCATTGCCACACTTTTGGTATTGAAGCATTCCTACGAGTGCAGTCTTCCCTGTGGTCATCCACAGGCTTTCAGGCCGTCTTCTCTCCTTCCCAGCTGACAGCTTTTACTCCACTCCTGTTCCCGCACTTGAGTGCCCCTCCATTATCTGGACCACCACTTGGGAGAGCCAATTTGTTCTTAAGAGTTTTAAAACTTCTCTACTGGGTCAGACAGCCAACATAACGTTGGGGGGGAGAGTGTAGGACAAAGAGTTAAGAGGCCTGGATTCTAGCCCAGCTTTGTCCACTAGGTACGGGCCTAGGCAAGTCACTCTCTGGCTCTGTTTCTTCGTCTATGAAACAAGGGAGTCAGATGAGAGAAGCTCTATTTGCCTTTTTCAGTTTTTAAATGTCGTTAGCTCCTGAGGAGCCGGCCCTCGACTGACGGCAACCCCTTGTGTGAAAGAGCAGAACTGCTCCATGGGGTTTTCTCAGCTGGAACCTTTACAGAAAGTTTGTCAGGCTTTTCTTCCTTGAGCTCCTGGGTAGGTTCAAACTGCTAACTGGTGGTCAGCAGCCAACTGCAAACTGTTTGAGCCACCTTTTTAAACGTTATCCGGCAGTAATAATGACAGATTTCCATACGCCACCCTGCAAGTCGATCTCAAGGTTTTATAGTCAATTCCTGCCCTAAATAAAGGAAAGCTATACTTCTGGTGAGAAGTTATAACAAAATTTTAAAGACGGAAATAGAAAAAGAAAAAAACAACAGCACGAGGAGGGAGAGCGACGCTCAGGAGGCACTGAACTGTGGAAATTTAACACTTGACACTGACAGGAAAGAGCAGAAAGGAGGAAAGGAACAAGAAGACTTGGGGGCTGGGCAGAGCTGGGGGAGGCAGATACCCCAAAACCCCAACCAACCTGCAATCACCATGGAAGCTTCAGCCTCCACATTTTCCTGCTTCCAGGGGCCCTTGTTGAACTCCTTCTCCCGGAGAGATACCTCATAGGTTTTCACGTGCCGCCCCTGAGGATCCTAGGCCAGGAAAGACCAAACAGTTAGCTCTCAGGAGGCGTGAACCTCAGACCGGACAAGCCACCACCAGCTGACAGCTGATAATTAGGCATGCCAGCCACGTCAGCCTTCCCACCCGATCCGTCAGGGTCCTGACACTGCAGCGGTGAGCCGCTAACTAGTTTCTAGGTAGACTCCTGGCATCTGAGGCCTACGTCCCTTCCAATTCAACCAGCCAAGGAAGGCTTAAGGGATTAGAGAAATAAACAGGCCACACTGCAGGAAGCCTAAGCCCAAGAGAGAAAATGCATGTATGTCAGCAAAAGGGCCAGAGAGAAAAAGCAAACACACTGAGAAGCTAAATATCTCTAAGAGACTGTGAAAATGGTTTCAGACAATTCCGACGAGCATTCAGAAGGTGCGATGGCAGGGAAAATAGACCATACTGTTCCTTAAAGTTTGTCAAAACCTCCAGCACTATTGTGAACCCCACCTTTTCCTGAACCATGACTCATGCCACTCCTGGGGCTGCCAAAGTCACCTTTCAGGGGTTACAGAGCAAGGGCACAGGGTTCAGCCAGTTGTGGACGGCTTAACAAAGGGCAGCCCAGATTCTAAAGGTTTGTAGAAGGGAATCACCAGCAGGCTTCAGGGCAGGACCCCCGTCTTGATCACTGTTATTCCTAAGCACTTAGCACGAGTACCTTTCACATTTGTCAAACTGAATTTCTGGCATAAAAAGAAATGATTCTTAGTTGCTGAAAAGACTTTCCCATCAATAACTAGGGGACTCAACTTCACAAAAAGTCAAGCTAAGGTTTGGATTCTGGCCTCTGAGCCACACCCAGAAAAATAAAGAGCATTCACACTGGCAGCTCTGGGGCTAGAAATACAGTCATTTTCGAACAACCAGTGTTTTCATGGTTGTAATGATCTGATACTGATAAGAGTGAAGCTTTGACCACAGCTCTGATAATTAATGCTCCATAAACAAGATCAACCAAAATCAGCCCCAGAACTGCAGTGCTTACGGTGACACCATGAAAGACACAAAACTGCATCACTACTTCCAGCACACACGTTGACAGAGTTCAAGTGCCCCCACATCCCACACTAACTACACACGACTCTCAGGTCCTTCCATCATTGATTCAACCACACACAAGTAAAATGACCTCATGCTGTATGGCTCTGTTAAAATGCTGAGACAAAGATACAGATGTGTAGTCTGATGTCCCCCTGCCTCCACCCTTTAGCAGATCTGGCCCAGAGAAAAGCCGCCCAGGATCAGCTCTGCTAAGGCTGTAGGCACAGACTAAAATAGAAGTCAAGAGCCAGCAAGTCATGGGTCTTCAAAAAGTTTAATACAGAATTACCCTCTGACCCAGCAATTCCACTCCTGGGTATAAACCCCAAAGATCTGAAAGAAAGGATCTAAACAGAGACTTGTACACCACCGTTCACTGCAGCCTTATTCACAATAGCCAAAGGTGGAAATAACCCAAATGACCAGCAACAGATGATGAATAATCAAACGTGGTTTATCCTTATAGGAGCTCTGGTGGCATAGTGCCTAAGGCACTTGACTGCTAACTAGAAGGCTGGCGGTTCAAACCCACCAGCCACTCCTCAGAAGGAAGGTTGGGCAATCTACTTCTGCCTCGGAAATGCAAGGAGGGGTCGCTATGAGTCAGGTCTAACTCGATGTCACATAACAACAACAACATATCCCTACAGTGGACTTCAGCCATAAAGTTCTGATAGATGCTACAACAACAATGAACCTTGAAAACACTACGCTTAGTGAAGTAACTTAGACACAAAAGGACAGATACTGTATGATCCCATTCATCTGAGATAATCTATGGTAACTACTAGTAGTAACTGGCACAGCAGGGATGAGGAAAGAGTTCTTGCTTAAGGGACACTGGGTTTCTGTTACAGGCAATGAAAACATACGGAAACGGACATGATGATGGTTACACAACATAGTGAATGTAATTAATGCCACTGAATTATATGTATAAAGAATGCTGAAATGCCAGATATTTTAATTAATTCTACTAAAATTTTAAACAGAGAAACAAAAAACCCCAGAAAGTCCTTAGAAAGTAGGTGCTGCACAAATCAAAAATCTTTTCTGAAAAGACAAATAGGGCACCACCGAGACATTTGCCTTCGCTTATACTGGCAATTTCCAGATCACTTCTCTACAGCTATTTGCTGCTGTTGTCATTTTAAACCATGGTAAAACATATATAATGTAAAACTTGCTATTTTAACCCTTTTTAAATATATGATTCAGAGACATTAATTCACAATATTGTAAACCTACACCATCTACAGCTAAGTTTCAATTCTCCACCATACCAGTATGAAACTCAAAATATAAACTGGGTCACCCCATAAAATCCCCAAGGCCCACAACCAGAGTGTAATTTCAGGATTAAAACCTGCCACAAGCCCCAGAGAGCTTCCTGCCTCTATGAGAAGGGGTACTGCAACCAAAGCCTGACTCCTATCAATTACACTGTGCAAAACATTTCAGTACATTTCAATACATGGAACACATCTGCCTGCTCTACAACATTGGGGAGCTCTGGCGGCATAGCGCCTAAGACATTTGACTACTAATCAAAAAGCTGGAGGTTCAAGCCCACTAGCCACTTCTCGGAAGGAAGACTGGGCAATCTACTTCCGTAGTGATACTGCCTCGGGGCCAACTCGATGGCAGTGAGTTTCGTTTTTTACTATCACATCGAGACACCTTGATTGGCTAAAACCAACTCCTGCTCTGCCAGACCACCTAGCTTTCTCCTCTTGTCTCCCAATCCAGTACCTGGTAGACAAAGCAGATGGTAGGGGCTTGGCAACCATAGAGAAACTTGACGTCAATGACATGCAGCTCCTCTAGGCGGATGTTAAAGGCCTTGAGCTCTTTGTTGTCCCGGTCCAGGGGAATAACCTTGAAAAGGCCGTCGTAGAGCCGCAGGCCGATCATCCGGCACTCAGGATCAATGATGCCAATGATGCCTGTCTCTGAGGGGCGGCCAATGCGGTCCTGAGAGGTAAACTGGGATTAGGAGGGACCTGCACACCCACAGCGTAACAGAGGACAACAGGCATCACTGTGCCAGAAGCTTCAGCCCTGCACCCTCTAAATCCCACCACTTTAAGACAGATCGTGAGACTAGAGACATCTGTGGTGGAGCATTTTCAAAAAGGATACCAATAATGTGGCACAACATAGAAAATGCCATCTATGTCCCTGAGCTGTCATGTGGAAGTTGTTATGCTGGTAAATATCTCGGTATGTATGTTTTCACCACAATAAAAGTTGTTTTTTTTTTTAAAAAAAAAAAAGACTAGCAGTATCTAGGGAGCTATGGAAGCGTAGTGCCTAAGGCACTTGACTGCTAACCAGAAGGCTGGTGGTTCAAACCCACCAGCTACTCCTCGGAAGGAAGGTTGGGCAATCCAACTTCTGTAGTGATATTGCCTCGGAAACCCAAGAAGGGGTCGCTATGAGTCTGGTCTGACTTGGCACATAACAACAACAACAAGCAGTATCTAATCGATACACCAAAATAGTTACACTTTTTTGCAAAACACTGAATCTCAATGAATTATTTCCCTGCTGCTTAGATTCTACGAAAACTACAGAAGTCCTTTCTTTATGTAAGCTCAAGTACTCAAAGCCTGAAGATTTTGTCTGTGTTTCTCTGACGACACAGAGGGCTGCCCCCAGCGCTTTGGTTTCCCTCATCGGACCACGAAGGCTCTGCCTGGGGAACTGTTGTCAGCCCACAGCGGCCACCTCACCTGAACATTGCCATGCGCTCGTGTAATGATGTCAATGCTCTCGCCGCTCTGCTTATACTCTAGGATGCAGGCATTGTACTTAGCTGTCAGGATGAATAGCAGGTCCTTGCTCTCCCCCTGGAAACCAACAGTACGCTATTAAGAAAGGTCATTTTTAAATCAGGAACACCTGCCCAGCCTTTAGGCGACATTCTTAAGCATGCTACAATTTTCCAAATGGTTCTCTCCCTAATGAGAAAACGCTCATTAGGTGAATATGTAACACACGCTGTTGTTAGTGCTGTCAAGTGGATTTCAACTCAGTGAACCCATGTGACAAAGCAGAACGGCCCCTACAGGGTTTTCTAGGCTCTAATCTTCATGGAAGGAGCCCTGGTGGCACAGTGCTTAAAGCATTCGGCTGCTAACCAAAAAGTTAGGCAGTTTAACCTGTCAGCCGCTTCTCAGGAAAAAGATGTGGCAGTCTGCTTCTGTGAAGATTTATAGCCTTGGAAACCCTAAAAGGAACAGTTCTACTCTGTCCTATAGGGTCACAATGAGTTGGAATCAACTCAATGGTATTTGGTTTTGTTTTGTTTGGTAATCTCCATGGGATTCGCCCTGGAGCAACTCAGTGGGTTCTAACCAACCTTTCCGTTAGCAGCGGAAAGGCTTAATCACTTGCCACCAGGCCTTCGGTACCACACACTAGGTACAAATGCACCCTCTAAAGGTATAGCCCAAAGGTGGAACTGACGATAGTAAACATCTAGTCCTTATTTTCATGAGTCTTCATCTTTCTACTCTGTATTGAATGTATGCTTCTATTTCCATCTCAAATTAATCTCATACTATTCAAATTCAGAGAAATGAATGCAATGCCTGCCGTAATTCCCTCCAAAAGTATTAAAAAAAAGACCAAAAAAAGTAGGAATAATAGCACAAGCTAAAACAGATCTACAAACTCGTACCCACTTAACACAGACCCAAAAAAGTCTTTTATTCAAAAGACCATAATTTATAAGCTTTTAACCCATTTCTTTCTTGTTAGATTCAGTGCAATTACTGTAAAGCAATTCATTGGCTACTTGAAGACACTCTGATTACACTAAAAATCAGGACAGTTATTAACATAATGGTCAGTGCTTGCATGTGCTAAGGCCTGTGCTATTATTTAATCTTTACAGCAACCCAGGGGACTGGACACTATTCTCTGTATTTTGCAGACAGAGAAAACAAGGCTCTGAAAGACATCCAAAGTCATGGAACAAGGAATGAAGCCAGAACTGCCCTGCTGTACAATCTACCCTCTCACTCACTACGCAACATGTACATTTCAAACTGATTTAATTTCACTCCCTGAAGAGGTTTCAAATCCATATGTTTTCTCCTAGGAGTCTCCCCTCCTACTTCTGGCAAGCTTATGCAAGGTGCTAAAACTAGACTTCAAAGACAGCTGGGAGTTTCTCTCCTAAGCCTTTTCCCACCCTTCCCAAATCAGGGCGCCAAACAGTCTCCACCCAACAGGTCTCCCTCATTGCTGGGTGGACCCGGAGCACTTACCTTGGGCCTGAAAAGTTCCATGACAGCAATCTTCCCATACATGCCCACCTCCTTGACGGGCCGAAGCCCCTCAGCAGTGACCACATAGATCTCTAATCTCGTGTTTTTGGCAATCAACAGGTTCAGGTCTTCAGCTGAAGTAAAGTGTCCTGAAAAAACAGAGTCCGCCAACCTTCCAAGCCAGAGAAAAGGCCTCCCTGGCCGTGTCTAAACAATGGTATCCCTTTCTACCTAAATCTTTACGGAATTCATGTTTGTGCCACGTAAATCTCCAGCTCCCTTCATTCATTCCCTTCCTCACCCAACTTGGCACCACACATTCAACAAGACCACCTCTCCCATCAGACTAAGGAAACTGCACTGGGCCTAAGAGCAGAGCGTCCTTCCATGGCAGATGACTGTGAAAACCCTGCAGTCCACTCTGTTCCCTCCAATTTTACTTTTCTTGTGACAGTGGCAGCCTTGTCCTCTCGGTAGCGAATGCTGGAGGGAACATCCATCTCTTCCATTTATCATCTGAACTGGCAAAACCTTTAGCAAACAGGGCAGGTCCCACGATGAACCCTCCCCACCCCCAGCTTTGTATCAATGCACGGTTATGCCCACACCCCCTGCCCTCCCTGCTGTCCTCTGTGTCATCTGTGCCAACAACATAGCTCTGCTTTGGAAACAGGGCCGGGGTTTATGCAAACATACAGGTTTGCCGTCTGCATGTATTAAGCCGAGGATTTAGGTTCGGGATGATGATCCCAGCGCCACAGACCGGCTGCACTTCTGTGTCATCAGGAAGTCACTGGGTCAAGCCTTCCTAACTCCCAGCTGCAGCCTCATGTAAACAACAGCCCCAGGCAAAGGGATGAGCCTCTCCTGATCCGGGTGAGTGCGGACTTTCCCTCCATCCTTCCACCTCCTGCGCCCTGCACGCTCTCCCATGAAAACACTGGATCCAAAAGCCGCCATCACCACCGTCCCTTCCCCCAACCGCATGCGGCCAATCTCGCGGCCTAAGCAACACCGCACAGTCAACTCCCTCGCCACTCTGTCCTACAAGCCTCTTCCTGTCCTCGAGGCCGGGTGACCTCCCAGAACCGAAAGGACCCTCAAGTGCAGCTTTTGCTCCCCAAAAGGCGCGCGTGGAAACAGTTTCTTTGCACGTCGGAGGGCTGGGGGAAGGTTGCCCGATCGCCAGCGCCTTCCATTCCCCAAGCCCGGTCCGGTCCGGCCGCCCCTAAGGCCGCGGGCCTCCCTAGGCCTGGGCTCACCCCAGCCGCCCTCCCTTACCGGGGTCTCCGGCCCTGGAAGCCTTACCGGTCACGCAACCGTTTACGGCGGTGGGCTTCTGTGCCGTTACCACGTAGTTGTACGACATTGTTAAGGCCTGGGGCGGCCCGTCGGGACGCGAGCTCAACGATAGACAGATGGACTCGAGCAAAGAGACAGGAGGTTCCCACCCGCGCGCAGCGATCTCCACTGCCGCTGCCTCCGCCCCAGAGACACGTTGCAGGCCAGAGCGGCCGGAGCGCGACGCATCACGGGACGGCCTCACCTGGCCTCTGGATGACTCGCCGCGCAGGAGGCAACCAACCACAGGAAGCCCCGCCCCCGGAGCCCTCGCCCCGCCTCTACCGCCGGCGCCTGCAGTACCCGGATGTGAACCGGCGGGGGGCCTTTATGAAGTAGCGGCTGTTGCGGCGCTGGCAGCTGAGAGCTCTGGCGGGCGCCAGCTGGCGGGGAGGTGTGCCCCTCCGCATTCGGAGCTCACCCGCAGACCCCCAAATTCCTAATCTCCTCCCCTCCTCGCCCCTAGCTCTTCCCCAGACCTCCGACCTCCCCCCACACTATTGTTTCAGGAGTCCTGGGGTGTTTCTCCTTTTTGGAACCCGGAAGACTTCAAAGGCCTAGAGAGGGGAGACAGTTGACAGCGATTTGTGCGGATCCCACGCCCAGGTCTTTCCCTCCCTCCCTTTGAACCCTTTCTGTTCCCCCAAAGTCAGCCGGTGACGTCGCCAGACACTGGAGCCACCTCTCCGTCTCACCTAGAGGCGTCCCTTTATGTTGTGTTTTTATTCCTCCGATTAGGAAGGGCTCCCAGGCGTCTTGGTCAACATCATTAGTGCCTCCATTGCTGTTCAAAGTCTGACCCAGACAAAACCAGAATTTCACTACTGAGAGCCTTAATGGCTCAGGATGGTGGTCAGTTGGCCCTGCACTCTGCAGGATACCTTAAATCGGACAGGCTCCCCAAAGAGCAGAACCACGTGGTTTGGAGCAGCTGCAGAGCAGAGAGGAGCCATTACCCATTTTATAGAAGCAGCAACTGAGGCTGGGGGGTATTAAGATCCCCCCCGGTAAGTCAGCGGCAGAGCTAGGTACCTAGCCAGGTCTTCCAGCCTCAGTCCTTTCTGCTGCAAGTAATGGGCCTCTCACCAAGCCCCTGGCTGGCCCCTGAGACACTTATGCACCAGGCTAAAGGTACCAGGGACACTGCCTGACTTGAAAGGCACTCGTAACTTGTAAACAGCACAGGCTTTATAGAAAGACTAAATACGGGTTTGAGTCCTGGCTTTTTCCAGTATGACTTTGAGCAAGTCTCTAGACCTTTCTGAGTCTCCATTTCCTCAGTGGGGTCACACACTGGAGCTGCCTCCCTTCTAGTGTGGTGCCAGCAAGCATGTGAAGATCTTTGTAAACCTCTTCACGTAATACATAAGGGATGAAGTTACTCCATGGTAACTTTGCTCCTCGGTAGTGAGGCTGGTCCTGGGCATAAGGGCAGCCCTGTGCCCCACATGGAGTTCTTTCTGCTGGCACAGTGTGGGTAATTGGGTATAAGGCTGCTAACCAGAAGATCAGCAGTTCAAACTCACCAGCTGCTCTGCGGGAGGAAGATGGGGTGATCTACCTCCATAAAGATTTACAGCTTTGGAAACTATGGGGTCACTATGAGTTGGAATCAACTCAGTGCCAGAGAGTTTTTTTTTTTTTTTTTTTGGTGTCCAGCAGGGCCCAACCTGTCTGCTGGCAGCCAAGTGCAGGGGTGAACCTTGCTCAGCCCACGCTCTTCTCCATCCCCGGCCCACTCATTAGAGTTTGGACTTGGATCAAAGTCTGGGGCAGCTTCCTATCTGCTGGGCCACTGGCAGCATGACTGCCAGTCTGCCCTGTGTGCCTTCGGCAGCTCGCAGCCTTACCCACTCCTGCAGGTGCAGCTGCCGCCTCCGCCGAGCTCCAACCCAGGTAGCAGCCCCAGGAACTCCCGTTGGCCTGCAGCCCCGTGCAAAAGCGTGACCACCACCTGGTCCTGAGCGTCCCCACCATGGTGAGTCTGACTGGGGCCAGGGCAGGGGAAGACACTGTAGTTTGGGGGCAGTGAGGGCTGCAGCCCTGGCCATGCTGGAATTCACAGGCCCTGACCAAGAGGTGCTGCCCCAAGTCTAGCTCACGCATTTAGATTAGAACATCAATCGTTACCTACTCTGTAATAAAGAGCCTTGGTGGCAGAGTGGTTAATGCGCTTTGTTGCTAACTGAAAGATCAGTGGTTCAAACCTGTCAACTGCTCCATGGGAGAAGGATGAGGCAGTCTGCTTCCGTAAAGATTTGCAGTCTTCGAAACACTATGGGGCAGTTCTGCTCTGTCTTGTAGGGTTGCTTTCAGTTGGGATTGACTATGGCAGCAGGTTTGGTTTTGGGTTTACTCTGTAATGGTGGGTCATTCTCACCTTCTATGCAAGAGACTCCGGTTCAGTTCCTGGCCAGTGTACCTCCTGGCACCTTGGTCTGTCACGTTGCTGTGATGCTGAACACGTTTCAGTGGTGCTTCCAGATTAAGACAGATGAGGAAGGAAGACGTGGTGATCTGTTTCTGGAAATCAGCTAAGGAAAACACTATGGTTCACAAAGGCTGTTGTGCTTGAGGCTACCCTGAATCCACAGCCAGCTCAACAGCAGCTAGCAACGCTCTTAATGGACACTGTACCAGTCACAGAGTAACCGTGGGGAACAACCATGTGCCTGTTCCTGAGGCTGGGGTGTGTGTGAGCTCGTCCCAGAGCCGGGATCCACACTGTGGGAGGCTCGGCGTGCCCCTGGGCATCGCTCCAGGCCCATTCTGGAAAGATCTGAACCAGAGCAGACCTTAGACAGACCTGGGTTCTAATCTCAACCTTGTGACCAAGCAGCTGTGTGTCTTTGCACAAAAGACTTTACCTCTCTGAATCGCTTTCTCCTTATCTGCGGTAGCCCCAAACCAGAGTCCTAGGACCTCTCTCAGTGCCTGATGTCCTGTCCTAGTTCTCAGTGGCATGAGGGGACAAAGGGATGAAAAAGGACAGGACTCAGGAATTAGGGGTGGCACTGGCCTCTGGTGCAGTGATGGCTGACAGATTGTCAAGGATGGGAAGTGGGGCACAGGCTTGGAGAGCAGTGGTGTGGAGGCAGGGCTTGGAGTTGAGACCTATTCGTGGTGCCATTGCGTGTCCCAGCCCCTGGTGGGCTCTGAGAGCCATCACCTATGCCTTCCTAGGGTGATCGACTCCCCTCAGCCCCCTGGAACTCTCTGGACCTCAGTGCTCCTGACACATAAGGGGTCACCATGAGTTGGAGCTGATGGCAGCTGTTTTTTTAGTTTTCAATCCCTGTTTTATTTATGGAATTCAGCCCCTCTGGAAAGTCACATGATGTCACAATGGCACCAGCATCGGAGCCAGGCCTGGACACTTGCTGGCTGTGTGACCTTGGGCAAAGTCATCCAGCTGTGCCCCATTTCCTTACCAAGCTAATCTTTCCTCCATGGGAGTGTTAAGATTAAATGAGATGTGCAGAAAGCACTTGGAACCGGGCCTAGTTCTCAGTCCCTGCTTGGGAAATGGCGCCAGTCTTATCCTGCTTGCTCCCTGCTGGCCTGGGCTGCTCTCAGCCGAAGCAGGTGGCTGGGTCCTGCCCAACCCAGGAAAGGTCAGCCAGGAGGTATCAGCTCCAAATTTTGCATCCAGGAGCCGCATGCTGGCGGCTTAGGCAGGAATGACAGCCTGAGGTGCACCTCCCCGCAAGCTGGCTCAGCTGGCCACCGGGTGGCGCTGGGAGTCTGGCCTTTGACACCCTTTTGGGCCCCCGTCTCGCTCTCTTCAGGACAAAGTCAGGAACTGCATTCCAGTCAGCCGCCCTTGTGCAGTTTGTCAAGCTTGGTTGAAACATAATAGGAATGGAAAACAGTTGGCGTCAAGTGAGTTCCAACTCCTGGTGAGCCCATGTGTGTCAGCAGAACTGTGCTCCGGGGTTTTCAATGGCTGTTTTTTTGCAAGTGGATCTCCAGGCCTTCCTTCTGAGGTGCAGTTGGGTGGATTCGAACCTCCAACCTCTCAGCAGCAGAACAACCATGTGCATCACCCAGGATTCTGCCATAGCAGGAATCCCTCCTTTTGTTGAACCTGTGTTAGATAACAGACGCATGCTCTATTACTAAGTTACCGCTTCTCTGTTTTATGGAGGAAGAATCAAGGCTCAGAACAGTGAGGTGTCTTCACTGAGTTTCCAAAACCAATGAAAGAGTTAACTGCCCTAGCCCAGCGCTGCTCCCTTTTCCTGCCCTCACCCCCTGTGTCAGCTCAGCTGAACCTGGGGCTGTCAGGCTGGCCTACCCGTGTGCCCATGTCCCTCTGTCCCGTGGCCCCCAGCAGTGCCCAGTTACCCTGAAGCAAGGTAAGCATGAGCTTCCTTGTGCTTGCTTGCTAACCTGTAGAGAGTGATTCTGCATTTTTTCACCCCATTGAAGCTCCTCTGCTTTTTATGGCCGGCATGTGTGTCTCTCTCAACCCCATGGCACCTTCCTACAGAATCAAAGCCTCTTTTCCAAATTTACAATCCCTCACGGGGGCAGTGTACTCAGCAAGGAAGGTAAGCACAGGCTTACTTGTGCTTACTTTCTAGTCTCTTCTTGTCGTTAGGAGTCTTAGAGTCAGTTCTGACTGATAACAACCCAACATACAACAAAAGAAACCCCGTCCGGTCCTGCACCATCCTGACGGTCGTTGCAGCGTTTCAGCCCGTTGTGGCAGCCACTGTGTCAATCCACCTCGCTGAAGGTCTTCTTCCTTCTGTTCACCCTCTTCCAAGCTGATGTCCTTCTCCACAGAGAGACTGGTCCCTCCTGATAGCGTGTCCAGAGTGCACAAGACAGTCTCATCATCTTACTTCTGTGGAGCATTCTGGCTGCACTTCTTCCAAGACAGATGGGCTGGTTCTTGTGGAAGTCCATGATACACGGAGTATTCTTCGCCTGCACCATAATTTAATGCGTCAGTTTTTCTTCGGTCTTCCTTGTTCATTGTCTAGCTTTTGCATGCATACGAGGTGGTTAAAAACACCGTGGCTTGAGTCAGGTGCACCTTAGTCTTCAGAGTGACATTTTTGCTTTTTACCACTTTGAACAGGTCTTTTACAGTAGAATTGCCCAATGCATTACAAAATGTGATTTCTTGACTGCTGCATCCAAGGGCATTGATTGTGGATTTAAGTAAAATGAAACCCTTGACAACTTCAGTCTTTTCTCTGTTTATCACGATGTTGCTTGTTGGCCCAGTTGTGAAGATTTTTGCTTTTTTTTATGTTGAGGTATGCAAAAACAGCAGGGAGGCCACATCTTCCAACCTCCTCTAACCCTACAAGAGGAAGACAGGATTATCAGCAGTAACCCAAGGTCTATTCTTACAAGGCCAGACATGCTGCCTTCCTCCAGCCCTTTCTCCAACCATTCCTCCCAAAGCACCCACCACCTCTCTTCTGGTTTCGATAATTTGCTGCAGTGGCCACACAGAGCTCACAGATTATGGGGTTTATTAGGGAAGCACCACAGGCTGCAATTCAAGTTCAGGATAAATGCTCAGTCTCTCTCCCAGCCCACCGTCCCTCAGCCAACAGTCTCTCACAGTCTCTTTCCCAGCAGTGCTGGTCCCTCGGTGTCTCACTCAGCAATGTGTGTCTCTTGCATCTCTTTCCCAGCAACGTGTGTCTCAGGAGCCTGTGTCTCTTTCAGCAGCACATTTTCCTCAACCAGCAGTCAGAGAAAGAGTTCTGCCTCTAGGAGGCCTCCTTTTGAGCCTGGCAGAGTGGTCAAACTAGCCAATCCCAGCACCAGAACTCTAAGCACCTGAGAGAGAGTGGGAACCTCCCAGAACATTGTTTTGTGCCACGCCCAACAGAAATACTCCACGTGGATAACATTTACAATCAGGAGCTCCTCAGTTGCTCATTCCACCACTGAGTTTACAATGACTTATGGGTAGAAAAGCCATACTAAGTAACTTACTACACTGCAAGGTGTAATCTGTGTTGAAGGCTGTAGTCTCTGATCTTCATCAGTAAGAGCTTCAGGTTGTCTTCTTTTTCAGCAAGCAAGCTTGTATCATCTGCATATTACAGGTTGTCAGTGAGTCTTCCTCCAGTCCTGATACCACGTTCTTCTTTATGCAATCTGGCTTCTTGGATTACTTGCTCAGTATGTAGATGAAATAAGTGTGGGGAAAGGACCCAACCCTGACACGCACCCTTCCTGATTTTAAACCGTGCAGTATCCCCTTGGTCTGTACGAATGACGACCTCGTCATATGTACAGGCGTATGTACAGGTTTGTCGTGAGCACAAGTAAGTGTCCTGGAATTCCCATTAGTCACAGTGTTTTCCATACTTTTGCTATGATCCACACAGTCAGATGCCTTTGCGTAGTCAGTGAGGCATAAGTAAACATTTTTCTGGTATTCTCTGCTTTTAGCTAAGCTCCATCTGACATCAGCAATGATACTTCTCATTCCACATCCTCTTCTGAATCCAGCTGAATTCTAGCAGTGAACAATTTCCCATGTGTTTCACCACATCCCATGTGAAACTTCACTACAGATTAGTACCTAAGCACAAAGAAGCCTATGCTTATGTTACTTAATGAGTCATGCTTCCCAGGGCCAGGGTCTTGTAGGGTTAGTCAGGGCCCTGCCCCCCTCTCCCTGCTGGCCATGTGTTGCTCAAGCCCTTCTGACTGGCTCCTGCACTGCCCCCCCCCCCATTTAACACTTCCAGACCTTGGCTTACGCTGCTCCCTCTGCCGGGGACGTCCTCCCACTTTCCTCCTCTAGTGCTCCCTCTGCCTTTTCACTCACCTGACTCCTTACCCTTCACAAAGACTTGCAGGATGCCCTAAGGAGGCTTCCTCACCACACGTACACTCCATGGCTAGCTCTGCCATGGTATGTGCATTTCCAGCCAGGGCAGGAAGGGCATTCCGTTATCTCTTGTGCCCGGTGCCAAGCACGGAGTCTGGCACACAGAGGGTTTCAGGAAGTGCTTGCTCTGCTTCAAAGGCCAAGTTGACAGGAGAAGGATGTTGGCTCCCAATTTTATTATGTTTTTTTTTTTGTAATTAGGACCCCAACTCTCCCATTTTCTTTGCCCTGAAGCCATTTTTTCAGGCTAAATTTTAAGTCATGGACCAAAACATTCCATAAATTGGGCACTAAATAGAAAGTACCTGTTAGGAAGGGAAGCTGCAGCATCATCCAGCTGTGACAACGTCGCCCAAACCAAGGGGCTGCTGTGACCCTGGAGTTCCTGGGTAGGCATGGGAGTGGCCATAGCAACGTGGCTGGGCAGGATGGAGTGTCTGCTGCCCACACCTGAACCTCCTCCTTGCTCCTGTCCCGCAGACTTCCAAGAAGCTGATGAACTCGGTGGCAGGCTGTGCTGACGATGCCCTTACAGGCCTGGTGGCCTGCAACCCCAACCTGCAGCTCCTGCAGGGCCACCGTGTGGCCCTCCGCTCAGATCTGGACAGCCTCAAGGGCCGGGTGGCACTGTTGTCGGGTGGAGGCTCCGGCCACGAGCCTGCCCATGCTGGTGCGTAGAGGGAGGAGAGGTGGGGTGAGTGGTGCTGGGCAGGATGGGCAGGGAGCCCCCAGGAGATGCTGGGTGTGGCCTGAGGTTCGGGACAGTGGTGCTAGGAAGGGTGGGCAGGGAGCCCCCAGGAGATGCTGGG